TAAGAAAGCAGAAAAAGTCCTATACTGGTTTCAGGTGTTGACATTATCAGACATTGTAAAACAAATATACTTATGTTTTCAAAGAATAAAAGATAAGCCTGAGACTATCACAGGAAACTATAAAATAATAGAACTTCCAGAAATGAAAGTACAGAAGTTAGAATGCACAGTCACAATGGCAGATTGGACACAGAGAAGCAGTGAACCTCAAAACAGACCCAAAGAAACTCTCTTACGCAGCAGAGACAAAAAGGTAGAAAATAGGAAGGTGAGGGTAAAAGTGTGGACTTAACATAAGACTAATACATGTTTGATCATCAGAGTTATAGAAGAGAAAGAATGGAGCATAAACTATTTTGAGACCATGATGCAGAATTTTCCCAAATTGATAAATGGTATCTATAGATTAAAGAAACTCAATTCTAAGTAAGAAAAAGTAAACACCCACACCTAGACTCATTAGTGAAACTACTGAGCACCAAAGACAAGGAGAAAAAAAAAAGTAAAGCGGTCAGAAAGAACATAGAATTCTATATTGAACATACCGTTCAAGAATAAAGGTGAACTTCCAGGTAACTGAAGTCATTGGTGGCAACCTAAGCTACCTGTTTCCCAATATTTCATTGCAAAATAATGCAAAGAACAAGAAGGAAAAAGTAAACCTACACAAAAGCCACACTCTCAGCGTAACTTGAAGTCGGAGAATTTTGAAACGTCAAACTACCTGAATAAAATGAGAAAAATCACCAAATCTTAGCATGTACTCTCATATGCCTGCCCCAGCACCACCCCAGTGCAAGGTTTTGTGGAGCAAAGGCAGAGGGAGATCAACTGCAAGAAAGACAGAAGGAGGATGCCTGTGCAAGGGCATTGCAGACGTTAGTCCTGTAATTACTGCCAGAAAGACCAAGTCCATCTTCAGTCTGAGTCTAAAAACATGTCCAAGTAGGGCGCCTGGGTGGCTCAGTTGGTTAAGCGACTGCCTTCGGCTCAGGTCATGATCCTGGAGTCCCGGGATCGAGTCCCGCATCGGGCTCCCTGCTCGGCGGGGAGTCTGCTTCTCCCTCTCCCGCTACCCCCTCTTGTGCTCTTTCTCTCACTCTCTCAAATAAATAAATTAAATCTTTAAAAAAAAAAATGTCCAAGTAGATCAGAGCACAAACTATAGGCAAGGGGCTTCAAAGTGAGCACAATTCACAGGGGGCAGGCATGATTTGAAGGGACAGCACTGAAATGTAGCTTCTGGTGGAGGAAAAAAGTGAAAAAGGAGAAGCACCCTTTGACAATTAGGTGATGAGAGGAAAATTTAAGAGTCTTGCAAGATAAATGAGTATTGCAAAATCGGAGCACTTACAGCCCCTCCCTATCACCAAAAGAAACCCACAAAAAACCCACTAAAGTGCCTGAATTTCACTAGCTTGATGGAAGAGACCTCAGACATGAAGCATGAAAATATAAATAACATATGGATATTGACAAGGAACAAGCAAATTTGTCATCACTTGCAGATTTGATTGTGCACGTGAAAAATACAAAATAACCAGCAGGTAAATTAGAAATAATAAGATAATTCAGTTCTACTTCCAGCTGTGGGTGAATTGGCTTGAAATAAAAAGACCTACCCATCAAGAACAATTAGAAAAGCTGGATTTAAAAACGAAACAAAACACTTGTTTGAAGGATTGAAGAAGTACTAAGGTACCAAGGACTTATGGGGTCGAGATCCTAGAGCAAAGGGAATTCAGGGGTGAACATGATAGTAAAGTTTCACCTTGAGGCATTTGTTGATTCATAACCGGTGACTGAGAGAGATACCTAGTAGCAGGGAGGTCAGTCAAGAGGCAGAGACCTCAAGCAGAAGCTGTAGGCAGTATCACTGGGTCGGGGAAAATACAAATTTGGCATCTATCAAGGAAGGGGGCACTGTTCAACAGGCTTTCAGTTAGGACACTTGAGCGGCTACATATTAGAAGCAAGGGCTAATCAGAAACAGACAAACTGGTACAAACCCAGAGTCCTACGTGGTCTTAGTCCCACCCCGGACTGAGTAAGCTGATGTGCCACTACTCAAACTGCCTGCACGAAGCAGCAGTAAACCGTCTCTGGAGGAAGATATCATCTGAAGCCTCAAATGATTACCACAAATTTTAATTTATAATATACAGCATCCAGCTGAAAGTTACTTCCTTCTGACAATATCAAAAGATGAAAGATCAAGGAAGAAAAATAGAAACAGTCCCATGGGAGTTACAGACTTTTCATGTATCAATCAGAAACTTTAAAATAATGGCAATGAATAAATTCAAAAAGAAAAGATGAAGAATTTTAGCAAAGAATTAAAATCTATTTAAAAGTAAGTTGAGGCTTTTGATTCCAGACAAAATGGAGTGGATGTATTTCTCTGCTATTCCTCCCAGTAAGCAGAGCAAAAAACCTCATGTATTGTATACAAAACAAATAAGACTCAGGACAGTGGAGAGAAGAATGCAGACCAGTTAGGGACCTCAGGATCCAAGCAATGATATGTGGTGAAGTCCTTGGGTTTTCTTTCTGACTCATATATCCTACAGTGGGCGTTGCATTATATATCCCATAATGGAGGAGCTGCAATCCAGAGACGCCAAATGTGCACACAAAAAGCCCAGGAGAAAATACTCTGTAGCCAAAGGACACAGAAAGGGGCAGCCTACCAAGATGGACTAGTTTTAGACAATAATTGCACTGCTCCAACCAAATGCTACCAAGAAAACTGAGGCCCATCTCTACCCCTTACAGCAATGGCTGAGCTGGAGGTGTAGACTCCACCCTCACCTAGCTGTAAAGAAGCCAGTGTGGTGGGTGGTGTCAAAGGAGGCTCAAGTCGGGGCGCTTGGGAGTCTCAGTTGTCTGAGCATCAGACTCTCGGTTTCCGTTCAGGTCATGATCTCCACGTCTGGAGATGGAGCCCACTTCAGATTCCGCACTCAGCGGGGAGTCTGCTTCCTCTCCTACTTTTCCTTTCTCTCTGCCCCTCACCCCCCAACACACACACTCTGAAATAAATATTTTTTAAAAAAAAGGCCCAAGTAGAGAGCCAGGACCTCCATCACAGCACAGTGGTTATAAGGCCCCCTGTTATAATGTCAGTGGAGGCCATCTGGGGAAGAGTCAGGGCACCTCCAACATACCACCTGGGTTATCTACAGAGGCCAGGGGAGAACCTGAACTTCTCTACTTCAACCTTGTGGCAACAGGCAGCTCCCCAGCACCCCCACCAGCACAACGTCAGAGGAGTTCTGCTTAAACAGAGTATATGAATATCCAGGGTCTTATAATACCTTAAAATATCCAGGACTACAACTTAAAAATCATTCATTATACCAACGACCTAGGAAATTTCAACTTGAAGGAAAAAAATATAATTAACAGGTGTCAATATCAAGATGACACAGATGTTGGAATTATCTGACAAGGACATAATAACAATATTTTAATGAGCAATTACAAATAAACTTAGAACAAATGATAAACAGAGTCTCAGCAAAGAAATAGAAGATATGAGGAACCAAATGGAAATTTTAGATCTGAAAAACACAATAATTGAAATAAAAAAACTCAGTGAATGGGCTCAACAGCAGAATGGAGGGGAGAGAGGAAAGATATGCCTGTCAGTGAACTTGAAGACAGAACATAGAAATTACCCCATCTGAACAACAGAAAACAGACTGAAAAAAATTAGTAGAGCCTCAGGGATATGTAGGCCTCTAGCAAAAGATCTAGCATTTGTGTCATCAGAGTCCCAGAGGGAGAGGAAAAAGAGTATGGGGCAGAAAAAAATATTAGAAGAAACAACGGCTGAAAATTCCCCAAATTTGGCAAATGACATAAACCTAAGATTCTAGAAGCTTGAGCAAATCCAAAACAGGATAAAACCAAAGAAATCCACACTAAGACACATCTTAATCAACTTTCTGTAAAGTAAAGAAAAAAGTTTTGAAAGCAGTGAGAGAAGAGATACCTTAGCTATAGTGGAAAAACAATTCAAAGAACAGCCTATTTCTCATCAGAACCCTAGAGGACAGAGGAATTGCACATTTTTTCCAGTGCTGAAGAAAAAAAAAATTGTGAACCTCAGATTCTATATCTGGCAACAATATCTTTCAGGAATGAAGGGGAAATCAAGACGTTATCAAATGAAGGAAAACTAGTAGAATCTGTCTCCAGCTGACCTGCTTTTTAAAAAATGGCTAAACAAAGTTCTTGAAACAGAAAGGAAATGATAAACGAAGGAAGCCTGCAACATCAGGAATGAAGAAAGAAAAATGGAAAGAGTAAAATATGGGTAAATACAGTCGGCTTTCCTTCTGCTTTTGAATTCTAGAAATTATCCTTGACAGTCGAGGCAAAAACGATAACATTACCTGGTGTGGTTCTCAATGAATGTAGAGGAAATCTTAAAGACCGTTATAAATGGGAGTGGGTAAAGGGACAGGTATGATTTAAACCCCTTTACGGGAGGTAACTTTTCCACATTTCACTAGAACTGGTAAAATGTGGACACAAACCGACTGTGATAATTTGTGTATCTATTTGGGTGGCTTTGGACAGCTGATGCCAACAGGTTGAAAGGGGGCAGGATGAGGTGCGTGGAAGCAGTCAGCACACACTTCAGGATGAAGGGCTGGTCTTGGGAAGAAAAGAGCCTGAGGTTGGCTGAAGACACACCTGGAGAAAAGGCGAGGGAAACAGAGACTTGCTTCTGACGATGACTCTCTTCTCAGCCAAGCAGCCAAGAGGGGATTAGCCGAATTGAGGGCGATGATGCGCGTTTGGGGCGCCGAGAGAGGATATGAGCACCAGAAGGACAGACAACTCAGGGAGCGTCTGGAGTTGACGGGTCTTCAGCCCCCCGCTCAAAAGCTGGAAAATGATGAATTGACCGCCAGGTGGCGGTGTCTGTGGAAGCTCACGTATCCCATCGGCCCTGGCGCCGGGGCGGAAGAAGGTGCGGAGGTAATTCTCTGGCTCGCGTCGCCTCTACTCTCCTTTCCCGACTGACGTTGGACAACAAAGATGGCTGCAGGAACCAGCAACTACTGGGAAGGTGAGGGCGAGGCGTCCGTGTTGGTCTCGCCAGGAGGCAGAAGGGCTGGGTGGGGACGGGTCTTGGGGGAGGCGGCAGAGGAAAGAGCCTGGCCTCCGGAGCGGCCGAGCCGACGGGTGGGGCTTGTCTAATGGGAGCCCCGGCCCTGGGGGCTGAAGAGACGGGACGGTCTGGGGCAGGGGGCTGACCCGAGAGGCAGCGAGACCTGAAGCAGGGGTTGGGCGGAGAGAGCGCAGCGGCGATGGAGTGGAAGAGGGTCCTGAGTCACTGGAGGAGAACTGGGTTGAGGGGCTAAGCGAACTTGGACGAAGGGGTTTGGGGCACGAACTCTCGAGAGGAGACGGATTTTGAACGAGAATATCCCGAGCCCAGGAGGCTGGAAGAGTCAGCGTTTTAAGAGTTGAGGTCACTCACTGTTGGACGGTTGAGTAGGGTAAGGGAAAGAAGGAACTTGTCAGTCCGGTCCATCGAGGGAAGTTATATGAACGAAATGTCTCCTACTGGGTCCCCCTGGGAGCTTCAGGCTAGGACTGCGAGGATTGGGTGTCGAGTCCCGTTTGAAGGCAGAGGAAATAACTTTACGCTCTGCTGTGGATATGAGTTTTGTTAAAAAGAGAACGTTGAGAGAACCAGTGTGAATTGTAATGATTGCATTTGCTATACCTCTTCTGCAAAAAAAACCCAAAAAACAAGAAACAACAACAACAAAAAACCGTCTTGTGATTTGACAAGTACGTTTATTTAATTGCTGAAAGTATGGGGGCGCCTGGGTGGCTCAGTCGTTAAGCGTCTGCCTTCGGCTCAGGTCATGGTCCCAGGGTCCCGGGATCGAGCCCCGCATCGGGCTCCCTGCTCGGCGGGAAGCCTTCTTCTCCCTCTCCCACTCCCCCTGCTTGTGTTCCCTCTCTCGCTGTGTCTCCGTCAAATAAATAAATAAAATTAAAAAAATAATAATTACTGAAAATATGTTCCGATAAAGTGGGCTCATGTAAAACTCACTCCTGGACCATGATGACGACCAGGGATCAGAGAAGGCTCATCTTTTTCTTTCAATTGTCTCTTTGCTTTATTACAATAGAAACTACTCTCCGAAGCCACTTGGAAACCACAAGTAAGAGTATTGTCACTATCAGCCCCTTGGTCTAAGAGCTTAATTCTAAGTTCATCCATATTTGCTTCTTACACTTTCAGAAGGCCTTTTACTTGATGTTTTGTATTAGGGAAGACAGTAGTTACAGAGAACCATGATTATAGTTTAAAACATGCATTTAAATGCCTATTTGAAATGTGTACTAGATAGAAAATATTTTTAAATTATGTACAAGTGACTATTGGTATCTTTAATGCTAGTCATTAGGCTATAGTTTTTTGAAGCGCCGTGCTATAATAATTATAGCAGCGTATTATTAACAACCTACTCTGTGCTTTAAGCATATGGTTACTAATGCACAGAAAAACCCTGAAGGTAGGGTCCTGGGATCCAGCACTATGTCTCACTCCGAGCTCAGCGGGGAGTCAGCTTGAGGATTTCTGTCCCTCTCCCTCTGCCCCTCCCCTGCTCATGCTCACACTTGTGCAGGCGCTCTCTCTCTCAAATAAATAAATAAATCTTAAAAAAAAAAGTGGAGGTTCATAGGTTAAGTAGATTTTCAATAAATCTCAGAGTCAGTTCTCGGAATCTCAGAACATTAGGGTGAGCTAAGATTCTGAGACTTGGTCGTCTCTGACAAAATATGCTCCACTATATTATACTGCTTCCTACTTCTGGTTGCTGATAAATATATTGAAATAATGTTTTGTAATCCTCATTCCTGAAAGATGAGATCCTTACAATATTCCTTTCTAAATTTCAGCCCTTTTATTTTGAGGTCCACTTCCCCATGAATGAGAGTACTCACGTCTAGATGTAGGTTTCCCGCCTGGGGCTTCTCTTATACCAATGTTTCTGTTTGCTTCTATTCTTTTAAAACTTAGGCCCTTATTTTGCCATACTTATATTTGACCTTGTTAGTCACATAGTTTATTATTAATTTAAGAGTCTCTAAATTTCTTTCAGTAAACTTACTGAAAGACCAATTTTTAATCCTTTGTTAATGATTATTTTTCTTTAAGCTTCAGTTGCTAAGTCATTCTACTAAGAATTTCATAAGCTTTGGAATATAAAGAGATAGGAAAATCTCTGTCAAAAACAGTGATGGTTTCTTTTTAATGAAGTTAGTTTATAAATTGATATAATGCTGGTCATAACCCATACTCAGTTTCTTTATGATTTGTATTCTCTTCTGTTTTCCCCCCAAATTACAGAATTTTAGGCATTGTTACAGAAATAATTTCAGAGATGTTAGAATGTTTGTTGTCTAGCTATCTTTGGAATACAGGTGAAATTTTCCACCTCCCACTGTTTCTCCCCTTCTTGACCCATCTGAAGTTTAAATAAGAGACACTTTGCTTTTCTGGGTAAGTCTTTGGCTCTCTCCTTTTAACACTTTTCTTTATGGGGAATCTAGATCAATATATGATTATTTTCATAGTTTGTTTTCTTCAGAATAGTTTTGTAATTTTTATGCCCGCTGATGGACTTTTGTGTTTAATTATTTACTTCTGAAATTTTGTTAAAGATCTCAGGAAACAAGCTCGACAGCTGGAAAATGAACTTGACCTGAAACTAGTTTCCTTCAGTAAACTATGTACAAGTTACAGTCATAGCAGTGCCCGAGATGGAAGACGCGACAGGTATAGGTACTACCAGATTCTGTCTCTTATGCCTTAAACCATAGAATGTTTTAAAAGCATTAAAAAATAAACTAAAATATATAACTCTGTAACTTGACCAATTGGTGAATTTTTGGTATTTTATTTTTTTGTTACTGTTTATTTTAGTGATTTATAAAAATTCTTCTTAATTCTTGAGACTAGCATTCATTTGGGATCCTTAGGCAAAGGTTGTGATGGTGTTAGGAGGAAAATGCTAAGGCTTAAGAATGAGTTTCTCATTCTTTTTCTAGTTCAGCCAGTGTATGGTATATGGTTGATTTGCCCACATTGTATTTCTTATATCTCCTGGTTGCTAACTGGATCTGAGAAATTACCCAAATGTAAAGTATACATACTGCTATTCTGGTGTTTTAGAATGAATCTAATGCAGTGTGCATCCTCACTATTAATCATCCAAGCTATTTTTAATTTTGGTTCTTTTTTGAGAAACCGGAATACTACTGTATTGAACATACGGAAAATGTAATCTTATCTTTGAAACTTAGGCTCACTTTAGGCCATCTACTTGTTTAAAAAAAAATTAGGAAATATTTAGGACACTTAGAGAGGTATAAAGAATAATGGATCCTTATGTGCCTCTCTCCCTCTTTAAGAAATAATCATTATCAGTTCAGTTGATATCACTTATCAGTATCCCATTTTCTGCTTCCCCATAATCTCCTTTTTTTTTTTTTAAGAAAGATTTTATTTATTTATTTGACAGAGAGAAAGACAGTGAGAGAGGGAACACAAGCAGGGGGAGTGGGAGAGGGAGAAGCAGGCTTCCCGCAGAGCAGGGAGCCCGATGTGGGCCTCGATCCCAGGACCCTGGGATCATGACCTGAGCCGAAGGCAGACGCTTAATGACTGAGCCATCCAGGCGCCCCCCCATCTTCTTATGTTTTTACTACATATGTTTGGTTCCTAAACAATTTATGGTATCTTACTATAGTCATTTTGCAACTTGGTTTTGTTTAACATTATCTTTGTGATTAAGCTTTGGATACATTTAACTGGTATATTCATTTGCTACGTATAGTATCATACTGTGATTGTGTAGTTGTGTATTGTAATCTGTAGATGGACATTATTTCTAATTTTTGCTAATAATAGTAATAATTTTAATAGCTGACAGTGTTCATCATGTATCAGGTACTGGTTTGTTTTTGTTTTTTAAGATTTTATTTATTCATTTGACAGAGATACAGCAAGAGAGGGAACACAAGCAGGGCGAGTGGGAGAGGGAGAAGCAGGCTTCCCACGGACGGAGCAGGGAGCCTGATGTGGGGCTTGATCCCAGGACACTGGGATCATGACCTGAGCCAAAGGCAGATGCTTAACAACTGAGCCACCCAGGTGCTCCCCCCCCCCTTTTTTTAAGATTTTATCAGGTACTGTTTTAAGCGTTTTATATGAAGACTGCTAAGAACATTTTTACCTTTAAAAATATTGTATATCTAGCAGTGGAATTGCTGGTTGCAGAGTCGTTAGTTGTTACCCTTTTTTTTTTATTTAACATACTTTTTTGAAGATTGGCAGTGGGTGGGATTTTTTTTCAGCTAATAATAATAGAACAATAAAAATTGAGCATGGGTTTGAACCCAGGTCTTTCTATCTCCAGAGCCTGTACTCTAAACATGTCTGTGAACATTCCAACAAAAGACTCATTTGAACACCATAGCCAAAGTATTGATTCTTTTTAATAAGGGCACACGGAAAGCCTGCTTCTCCCTCCCCCACTTCCCCTGCTTGTGTTCCTTCTCTCGCTGTGTCTCTCTCTGTCAAATAAATAAACAAAATCTTAAAAAAAAAAAAAAAGAATTTTAAAGAATTAAAGATAGCGAGGCCAACATATTGACTATAGGACCTAATAATAAGCCATTGACATGTCACATAGGTTTGACTGCAGTACATTGTTTTGGACTTACCTTTATTTAGCAAGTAAAGAAAATGAGGAAGGTTCTTTTGTATGTGTAAACTTAATTTTATCACTAGAAAGCATTTTTCCGAAATTTAAGTCTTCCACTTGACTATGCCAGTGAGTGTGCAATTTTAAAACTCTGAATTGTCAGGAGACACAATTACATGATGCTTTTTCTATATTTTCTGTGCTTCATGAACTTAATACTTTTACAACTCCTTTAAAGGGAAAACTATCTTGAAGACATTTCCTAAGAAATTCTACAGCAAATTGGGACTGACTTTGTAGATTCCTACGGCCCAACTCTCCCTTCAGTAAGAAGCCTAAGGCCGTGAGGATCAAGATCCAATGTTTATTTTAAAGTGTTTTGTTATTGCCCAAATTGCCCAGATTGTCATAATGCATAATCTTAGTGATGACCAGAATTTTTCATCTAGGAGTAACTTTTTTTTTACTTTCTGTATTTTGAGAACTTTATGGTCTATGAATCATCACATACCTATAAAATGAATTCTAAAATTTAACTGAATCGTAGTATTACGGAGAAGAAGTTTTTGACCATTTCCCTGGACTTGTATACTCTGAGAATGGTGAATATAGAGATTGTTTCCTCATTCATTCAAGTATTTAATGGGTATCTACCATGTGCCAGGCACTATTCTAGGTGCTTGCCATATGTCTGTGAACAGGCAGTTTACCTCTTCATGGAGCTCACAGTCGTTGGCCCATTGTTCTTTTTCATATATCTGGTAGGGGAGGATCTGTATTAGTAGTATTTAGAGCATTTTTGCCTGGGCACATTCTAAGAGATAACCACAGAACTTTGGGTTGGCTTTGAAATATAAAGAACTCGATATTTGGATATATTTTAAGGCAAGTAAATTGAAATATTTTAAGAAATACAAATTTGGACCTAATTAAACATCTTAAAGTAAAAATCCTTTATATTAGCTACTTTTTGGTTATTTCGTTGCCCATTACTATTGCTGTAGAATTGTATGTGGAGAAGGGAAATAGTAGCTAAAGTGTTTTTTTGATGTTAAACTGATGATTTAATCAGTTTTCATTCACCACACCCAAGCACTGTCACTGAGCAGGACAAAGTCTTCAGTAAGATTGAAGACCATTGTCATTGCCTGTCTACTTATCTGTGTTCAGTATAACTGAGATCTCTATTGAGCTGCTCACATGATAATGCATACCATTTGGGGACCAAATGAAGGTTAGTGGTTCTTCAGAAGAGGCAGGACAAATTTCCTGGACATCTGGTTTTGGAATTTGAATCTGTCAAACATAAGTTTCACTTGTAAAAAGTTAGATTTTTGACTGACTATTCAGGTTAGAAGACAGTTGACATTTTTGTAAAAAAAACCCTGAAACGATTGCATAATACAAGTGGAAATGTAGAGAGTTGGTACTGAAACTTACCTGCTGGACATGGCTATCTATATTAGACTTAAAGCCAGTTCCTGATTACTTAATAACTAGGTATCCAATCTGTGGATTATGTAAATCTCAATTTTATTTCTTTTTGGTTAAGAGTCGAGGAAAGAAGAGAGAACTTAATTTGAGGAACCATTATTGCTTTGGAGTAAAAATTTAAAAGATTGTTCCTCACAGATCCCATAACATAATCCATAATACCTTTTATGCCTCCTTTTATTTGTAGTACTACTTAGTTCTACACTTTTGTTTCACATACTTTTAGATTCAGCATTTAATTGGGCACTGCCATTGCTTAAGTTACTTTCATTTGGGAAATAATAAACAAGCATTTGGAATTTCTTTACATTATTAAGGTTAGATGTATGTGTTAAAGTTCAGGAAAATCTTATAATTATATTTTATACTGGGGGTACTTGGGTGGCTCAGTCAGTTAAGCATCCGACTCTTGATTTCAGCTCAGGTCATGATCTCAGAGTCATGAGATCGAGCCCTGCATTAGGCTCTGTACTGGGCGTAGAGCCTGCTTAAGATTCTCCCTCCCTGGGGCGCCTGGGTGGCTCAGTTGGTTAAGCGACTGCCTTCGGCTCAGGTCATGATCCTGGAGTCCCTGGATCGAGTCCCGCATCGGGCTCCCTGCTCGGCAGGGAGGCTGCTTCTCCCTCTGACCCTCCCCCCTCTCATGTGCTCTCTGTCTCTCTCATTCTCTCTGTCTCAAATAAATAAATAAAATCTTAAAAATAAAATAAAATAAAATAAAGATTCTCCCTCCCTTTGCCCCTTGCTGCCTGCCCCCCCCCACATGTATGCATGGGCTCTCTCTCAAAAAAAAATTATATTTTATACTGAATTTAATATTTAGAATGTGTGTGATCTTTATAGGAAAACTTCTGTAAAAGTTACAGCTTCTTAAACAGAGAATGTCTGTGGGGTTCCACTTGACTTCTTTAAGAATAATTACCTTATTATTTTAAGTATGTTTATAAAGGATTAGGTTTAAGTAATGGATTCTCTTTAATGGAACTTCTCTTTAGCTCTGACACAACACCCCTTTTAAATGGATCAAGCCAAGACAGAATGTTTGAAACAATGGCAATTGAGATTGAACAGCTTTTGGCAAGGGTAAGTACTTTCTGTTAAATGGCTATTTTACTAGTTAACTGTGTTAATCAGTTGTTAGATATGGTACTAGATTATATTAATGCAGACCTGTTTATTGAAATCACCCTTTCATCCAAGATACGTGCCTGCCCAGGCCCCTTGAATTTAGATTATAGCCATTCTCAGGTCTTATGGGTATTATTTTAGGCTTTCTGGACTATTGGGAGAAAATACTGAATCCTTATCTGTCATTTTGGCTTTGGTTTTGGGGTGGTTTTTTTGTTTGCTTTGCCAGTAGCTGAAAGAGCATACAGGCAAATAATTTACTTTTATCTCTTTATAGTGCTTTTTAAAATATTTTGATTGGTTTTCTTTTTCTTCCTCTTTTTAGCTTACAGGAGTAAATGATAAAATGGCAGAATATACCAACAGTGCAGGTGTCCCATCTTTGAATGCAGCACTGATGCATACGTTACAGAGACATAGAGATATATTGCAGGTAATATATTGGGCTTGAGATTTTTAAGTTATTGTAGTGTTTTTTTTAAATCTCTGAATAGAATGTGTATACATGTATTTAAGAGAATAAAGAGAAGAATCTTCTGAGATAATAATATTATGCTGTAGAAATTTGTCTTGTTTCACTTTTTTTTCCCTTGGTATAATAAAATTCTGAAAATATCTGATAGCTCTTGCTTTGCTTGGTAAAAATGAACAATATTCATCACTAGGTAAATATACTTCTACTCTGGGAGACCTTGCTAGCTAGCAATAACAGTGAAATAGCCAATGGTCATGCATAGGCCATAATATGTTGGTTTAGAGTATACTTTCATCAGGCTTTGAAGATAATGTGTGGAAGGGAGGTAATTTACTATATTCAGTATGTTGTTTGGGAAAATATTAAAAGTGTACCAACAAAATGAAATAAATTATTACATACAGATGTGTTAAAAATAGAGTAGTACAAATAGGAAGGCAAATTTTTTTTTTTAAAGATTTTATTTATTTATTTGACAGAGACACAGCGAGAGAGGGAACACAAGCGGGGGGAGTGGGAGAGAGAGAAGCAGACTTCCCACTGAGCAGGGAGCCCGATGCGGGGCTCGATCCCAGGACCCTGGGATCCTGACCTGAGCTGAAGGCAGACGCTTAACGACTGAGCCACCCAGGTGCCCCGGAAAATGTTTTTAATATTGAAAAAATTCAGCCATCATTTCTAATTTTTAAAACTCTTGTAAAAATAGGAGTAGGAGGATACTTTATTTACCTAAGGCAAAATGTGTATATCAAATTAAAGCTAGCATGATGCTTAATGATAAAGCACTGAAAGCATTCCCCTTGAAGAAAGAAACAAGATAAAGAGATCCCCAATCACCACAGATGTTTATTATTGTTTTGGAAGTTCTTGGTGGTACAGTTAGACAGAGATTTAAGTAAACAAGATCTAAATAGTGACAAAGAAGAGGCAAAACTTATATTATGTAGCAGTGAAACGATCTAACACAACCAAGAAAAACAACTAAAAAAAAAGAAACAAATTAAGATGGTAGATTATAAAATTAATGTATTAAAGCAGGTAGTTTTCCTACATAAAACCAATAACCTTTGAGAAAATATAATGGAAGAAACTAAAATCCTAGTGTATAAATTTAATAAGAATGACTAGGAGTTGCATGTATAAAACTTTATTGAGGAAAATAAAAAAAGATTTAAGTAAAGGAAAAAATTACTCTGCCTTTGGATAGGAAGATTTCTCTCTAAATCAACCTGTAAATTGAGTGCCTTCCAAATGGAAAAAGAGGTTTATGTTCTTTTTTTTTTTTTAATTGGCAAAATGACATCAAAGTTCATTTGGAATCACAGACATATGAGTGTAACCAAGAAAAAAAATGTGAGAATGAAGATAAGTAGTAAAGGATGCCTAGTTCTGCCAGATATTAAAACCTATTAAGATGGTAGAAGAATTAGGGGCACCTGGGTGGCTCAGTCCTTGGGCGTCTGCCTTCGGCTCAGGTCATGATCCCAGGGTCCTGGGAGCGAGCCCCACATCGGGCTGCCTGGTTGGCCAGGAGCCTGCTTCTCCCTCTCCCACTCCCCCTGCTTGTGTTCCCTCTCTCGCTGTCTCTCTCTCTCTGTCAAATAAATAAATGAAGGGGAAAAAAAAAAGAAGCTAGAAGAATTAAGACAGTTTGATTCTGGAGAAAAAAGATATACCAATAGAAGAGAACAGAGTTCACATGGAATTTAAGTTTCTGATAAAGGTGGTATTTTATTTAATTAATTAATTAATTTATTTATTTATTTTAAGATATTTTCTTTAAAGATTTTATTTATTTATTTGAGACAGAGAGAGAGTATAAGCAGGGGGAGCCGCAGAGAGGGAGAAGCAGGCTTCCTCCTGAGCAGGGAGCCCAACATGGGGCTCGATCCTAGGACTCTGGGTGCCTGGGTGGCTCAGTCAGTTAAGCATCTGCCTTCAGCTCAGATCATGATCCCAGGGTCCTGGGATTGAGCCCCACATCCGGCTCTCTGCTCAATGGGGAGCCTGCTTCTCCCTCTACCCCTGCTTGTGCTCTCTCTCTCTTTGTCAAAGAAAGAAAGAAAGAAAGAAAATCTTAAAAAAAGAAAAAAAGAAATTCTACATTTCTAAACAATACCTAGTAACAGAAACTAAGAAATGTCTGATTTGCTTAATGTACAGAGAACTAATAGAAATAAAAAGATAACCTAATAGGAAAATGGGCAAAGTATACGAACTGGCTGTTTACAGAAAATGTCCCAAACCATAAAAAGATGTTTCCACATGCCAAAAGGAAAATAAACAAATTAAAATGAGATAGGATTTTTCACCTGTCAGAATAGCAAATATTGAAACATCTGTAGCACATTACAAGAATATAGAAAAATGGACCTCATCCAGTATTGCCGGGAACATAAATTGGTGGTCTTTCTAGAAGGCAGTTTAGCACTATCAAAATTTAAATGTAAGATTCTTTGATCCACTTTTGTTAGGCACTTACTCTTTAAATACACTTTAAAAAGAGTAAGAGTACAGTAAAATATATATACAGGAATGTTTATTTTTCAAACAGCATTTTTTAAACAAAAACAGTAACTAAAATGTTTACTGGTAGGGAATTGACTAAACTATGGCAGTCATAAGATAGAATTCGGTACAGCTATTAAAAAGAATATAGATTTCTGTCTGTTAATATGAAAAGATTACTTGATACCTTATGAACTACTGAAAAGAAGGTATATAACAGAATACAGCTGACCCTTGAACAATGCAAGGATTAAGGGTGCTGACACCCTGCCTCTGCACTCCTGTGCAGTCGAAAATTTGCATGTAACTTTTGACTTCCTAAAAACTTAAGTACTGGTAGTCTCCTGGTGACTAGAAGCCTAACATAAACAGTTGGTTAGCACATACTTTGTATGTTATACGTATTATATACTGTATTCTTACAATAAAATAAGTTAGAGAAATGTTATTTAATAGTGATGAGGGGCTCCCTGCTCAGCGGGGAGTCTGCTTCTCCTTCTGACCCTCCTGCCTCTCATGCTCTCTGTCTCTCATTCTCTCTCTCAAAGAAATAAAATCTTAAAAAAAAATAAAAATGATAAGGAAAGGGGCGCCTGGGTGGCTCAGTCAGTTAAGTGTCTGCCTTTGGCTTAGGTCATGATCCCAGAGTCCTGGGATCGAGCCCCGCATCGGGCTCCCTGCTCAGCGGGGAGCCTGCTTCTCCCTCTCTCTCTGCCTGCTGCTCTACTTACTTGTGTTCTCTCTGTCAAATAAATAAATAAAAATTTTCAAAAATGGTAAGGAAAATGTATTTACAGAACTGCACTGTAAGAAAAATCCGCATATAATGGACCTGCGCATTTTCAAATCTGTGTTGTTCAAGGATCAACTGTAGTTTGATTTCTTTAGCATAAGTGAAAGAAAAAATAGGAAGCTTGTATACACAGAAACATAATTCCTGAAAGAAAATACAAGAAAGTGATCCGAGTTATGAGCTGTAGAGCAGGATGGTTTTTATTTTTGTTCCTTTTGGTGCTCTTTTAGTATTCTCTCCATGTTCATTTATATTTTTGTGTTTAGAGGGGAAGTAGGGGCTTTCTGGGAGATGGGATTATGATTTTCATCTTCTCTATACACATTTCTGAATTTTAAAAAGTAATGAATATTCCTTAATCTCTTAAAAGTATGGTAGTAGAAAGAGAAAGGAAAATATTTGAAGATTATTTTGTTCTTTACTTTTGGTTCTCTTCTTCCTTTGACTGGTTTAGGAATTAAATTTCTGTGGAAATTCCAAAAAGATGAAATATGAAAATAAGCCCCATTGGGTGTACACTAATAAGGAGAAAGAGCCCCTCAAGTTTTATCCTAGGCTATTTGGAATCATTTATCTTAAAGTTGTTTTTTTCTTTATAATTCTGTCCCGTAAGACAAAGTACTAGAAGATACAAAGGATAGTGATTTAGTGGTACTGTTACCCTAACACTGAATTGTTTTCATTTGAAAGAAATTGGTCACTCTTCAGGAAAGGGATTATAATGTTATTTTTACTTAACTATTTGATTCTTTTTTTTTTTTTAAGATTTTATTTATTTATTTGAGAGAGAATGAGAGAGAGAGAGCATGAGAGGGGGGAGGGTCAGAGGGAGAAGCAGACTCCCCGCCCGATGCAGGACTTGATCCCGGGACCCCAGGATCATGACCTGAGCCGAAGGCAGTCGCTTAACCAACTGAGCCACCCAGGCACCCAACTATTTGATTCTTAAATAGCAGTTTTCTTGACAGAAATTTATAATATGATGACAATACATAATTGGTTCAGTAAGAGGAAAATATATAATGAGCTTATGTTGAGATTGGATATGATTTATTGCAGGATTATACACATGAATTCCATAAAACCAAAGCAAACTTCGTGGCAATACGGGAAAGGGAGAATCTCATGGGATCAGTACGAAAGGATATTGAGTAAGTTACCTTTTATGTTATTTTGTAGGATGTTTATTCGGATTTAGATTTAGAGCATATCAGTGATTAACAGTAAATTAAGTAGCACAACCATGATTTCGATTTCAAGGTTTCTAATTCTCATTTTATAGAGAATTCTCTGAATCTCATTTCACTGTTCTTTAAACATTGCTGAATCTAATCTACTTTCCTGGTCTTCTCTCCAGCTTGCCCTAGTTTTATCATTGGCTCCTGCCAACCTTGACTTCACTGTGTTAATTCAGAGTCCTTAGATGCTATATTCACAAGTTTTTCTCTGATCTCCTAACATCCACCTTAATAATGATATTGCCAATAACTGAAGCTCTCTCTGTTTCCCTTTCTGATTACCACCTATCCCCCTACCCTCTTTCTTGCCCTAACACTTACATATATATGTATCTCAGAGTAATTTCAGTAACCTTTATTTCTCTGGAATTTGAAGTATCTGTGCTTTCCAGGTTTTATTCAGGCTTCATAGCCACATGTCAAATTATTTAAGAACTTCCAATGTTTTTATGTTAATCTCAATCCATAATTTTAAAGATTTGTTCATCCATCCCTTTACCTCACTGAATCTAACCCTTGATCTCAGGTTGTGAGACCCAGCCCCCACTTTGGGCTCCGCACTCAGCACAGAGTCTGCTTGTCCCTCTCCCTCTCCTTCTTCCCCCACTCCCTCCCTCTCTCTCTCTCTCTCAAATAAATAAATAAAATCTTTAAAAAAAAAAATGAAATGTTTTTCACAACTGAACACAACTAATAAGGTAAATCCATTGGGCATCTAATTAAAACTGAAGACTTTCCACTTTTGGACCATCTATTGATGCCTATCATTGTCTCACTTGTGATAAATTTATGATACTTACATATCATAAGTAATTATTACCTTGTGTTTCATAAACATATCTATGATATACATTACCATATCATAAGCTAATCCTAGAGATCCTTTATTTTGTTACAACAGTAAGACAGTTTTGCAACAGAAATAATTTCATATTCATTGCATTCATACTTTTTGCTCAAAACTAATCAAGGATTATCCAACCATCAGAGTTATGTTCCTATCCCCAGAAATTATCTTGGAAAATTAATTTTTGTTTGTCTCTGTTCTGTTTTTTTAATGTTTAGTCTTACGTACTTTGTGGAACATGTAGGAGTAAAAAAAACATTTTTGCCATAATTAGATATTTTGTAATATTTTTAGTTCTCAGGAACATGTAAGTCTTTTGTTTAATATCTGTACAGACTATTTATGTATGTATTTTCAGGTATACATTGAAAACCAGTGTAGGGGACAGCCTTTAATGTTTAGGCATTTTCCTCCCTCAAAATTTGTGGGAATTGTTAGAATATAGCCCACTGTAGTAACTTGCTTTCTGAAAAACAGTCATAAAAGGGACATGTTCATCCATTCATTAAACTGTTTCCTGATTACCAGCCATGAGTTAAGACTCTAGATCAGTCACAGTAGAAGCTAGAAATGAAAAGACCAACTTGGCCCTCCTGGAGTTTATAATCTAGGTGCTAGAAGGGAGTAAGACATGTATTCAAATTAATATAATATGAAGCAGAATATGATTAGTGAGATGAGATATAGTAGTAATAACTGACATTTTAAAGTTTTTTGCAGTTGTACACTACTTTTCCATATATTACCTCTTTTCTGGCTTCATATAGTCTTTTGGTATAGATAGAAATTATTAGTACCATTTTATAAAACTAGATATTAAGAGACTTGTATAAGTTTAACTGGGTAATAAATGATGCAAGTATAGATTTAAATCTAGATCACCCGTCTTCAGGGCACCTGCCTGGCTCTGTCAGAGGAGTGCGTGACTCTTGATCTCGGGCTTAAAAATAAAAAATCTTAAAAAAAAGTAAATCATCTGTCTTGCAAGTCCTGTGTGTTCTTGGTTATCTCATGCTGCTTTTCCTGGGGTTTTCTTTCCTTCTGTGCTTTGCAAATCAGCACTGCCTCTCAGCCAGTAGTTTAGTTTTATCAGCGTGACCCTCTTTTTTTTGTCTTACTATACATGTGTGCGGTTTCTTGAATTTTTTATTTTGTTCTTGTTACTTTAATGTGAGTAAAGAGCAGAAACATGAAAGTGGTGATAGTAACGATAAAAAGCATTTTCTTGTAAATTTTAGTGCATTTAAGGCCAAGACAGAAATCCTTAAGTATGCCAAAATTGGCAGATCTTAAGCTTCATTTTAGCTCTACAGGCTCTGGTTAATAGACTGCACATACCAATGTGAAGGAAAACATTCCATGGCAGTAGCTTCCTGTCCCATGGGCTATGTAGTAATAAGTTTAAACTTCTACGTCCACTTGGAGAAAGAAAATAAAGATATAATAATAGACAAAAATAATAATAATAGACAAAGGCAAGTAAGGTTTTTGTTTGTTTAAAATGTTGGGTTATTTTGGTGAAAAATAATAAACAGCCCTAAATTAGAGAGGCAATTATATTTATTTATTATGGATGTCATTTTTAGAAGATGAAAATGATCAAACATTTTAACTTCATTCAAAACTATGGAGAGGATGGGGCGCCTGGGTGGCTCAGTCGTTAAGCGTCTGCCTTCGGCTCAGGTCATGATCCCAGCGTCCTGGGATCCAGCCCCACATTGGGCTCTCTGCTCCGCGGGAAGCCTGCTTCTCCCTCTCCCATTCCCCCTGCTTGTGTTCCCTCTCCCGCTGTGTCTCTCTCTGTCAAATAAATAAATAAAATCTTAAAAAAAAAAAAAAAAACTATGGAGAGGTTCAATTTCCCTACTTTGGATATTACTAGAGTCAGTCACTTCTGTTTTGCAGTATCTGCCAAAGATGTTCTTGAATTTTCTCTATTTTATTCTAGGTCATATAAAAGTGGGTCTGGAATAAACAACAGAAGAACTGAACTATTTTTGAAAGAACATGACCACCTTCGAAAGTAAGTATTATTGTATACATACATACCATGCAGCTTCCCATACTTACTAATTCCTTTATTGACATAACAAACATTTTTTGTTTTTTATAGCAAGTGTTTTATCAGTGCTAACTCATTTAATTCTCCTAACGACCCTATTTGGTAAAAGTGGAATTGTAACTGTTCCAGCTATTAATTAGGAAAGATATTATGCTATCGAATATCCAAAATCTGCATTCACATCACTTAATTGTTACTTGTAATATATCTTTTATTGCCTTAATGTTTCTTTTCTTTAGCAAGTCTATCCCTCTAATAAATTTGTTCACTACTGTAGATTATTACTGTAGATTATATAGTAATGATGCTGATAATGACTTATGTTTGAATGGCCTGTTACCACTTATATATGCCAAGAAGCTTTATAAAGAGTAATAGGCTATACATCAAATCCAAAGAAATTATCTGATTATCCAGGAATTCAGAAGAAAATGCCTAAAAACTTGGATGAACTATGTATATGTTGTAAAACAAGTCACCATATTCTGTCCCTTTTTCGTGTATGTTTTTCTCTTCAAGCTACTGGTTTCTGTAATATTTTCTCTGTGTTTTGTTGTAGAACTTAAGGGTCAGAAAGTTACTTATCTCTATTCAGCCTCTAAGCCCTTGAGCATCTAGTATCCATTATAATTAAATGTTACAAATTATGTTGATATTTGCTGCTGAATGTCATAAATTAATCATGTCTGTATGAGCTTAATGTACTATTCAATTTATTTTTCTTTAAAAATCACTACTTTACATATAAGGTGTTGTAATCAGAACACGGAAAAATCAAAACCTTTGTAGAAGCCTAGGTTCTAAAAAAAAATTTTTTTTTTTTTTTAATTTAAAAAATTAAAAAATAGAAGCCTGGGTTCCTCTGGTGTTGGATATAGTTTAGTGTTCTTTCTTAATCTGTTGAATGTTATTGATTGGCACAAGGGGGCAGTCTTTCCTAGAGTATGTTTAGTTTATACTTAATTCCTAGCTTTGGTAGTTCTTTTTGTATTTGATAAAACCATCATAAAAGGAAGAAAGAAGGGGGGGAAATCGGAGGAGGAGTCGAACCATGAGAGACTATGGACTCTGAGAAACAAACTGAGGGTTCTAGAGGGGAGGGGGGTGGGAGGATGAGTTAACCTGGGGATGGGTATTAAAGAGGGCACGTACTGCATGGAGCACTGGGTGTTATACGCAAACAATGAATCGTGAACACTACATCAAAAACTAATGATGTAATGTTTGGCGATTAACATAACATAAAAAAAATATAGTCACCCAAAAAAAAAAAAACCATCATAAAAAAAGAATTTTGCATTACATCCAAAGCTATATTAATACATTCTTTATTTATTTATTTTTTTTAAAGATTTTATTTATTTATTTGCCAGAGAGAGAGAGAGAGAGAGCACAAGTAGGGGGAGCAGCAGGTAGAGGGAGAAGCAGGTTCCCCGCTGAGCAAGGAGCCTGATGCGGGACTGGATCCCAGGACTCTGGGATCATGACCTGAGCCGAAGGCAGACGCTTAACCATCTGAGCCACCCAGGTGTCCCAATACATTCTTTAGTTACAGAGTAAATTTAAAGGATAAGATACTCAAGTAGCACAAAATAAAGGTTAGATTGCATCAGTGTTTCTGTATTTATTGCCTCAAAAAGATGTTAAAAAGTTAGAAATGCAGTAGTTGAATTACTTTAAGAATAATTTGTTGCTGAAGAGTATACCAGAGTGATTATATAAGTTAATATCCTTTATTTCATAATTTCAGAACATACTGCTTATTGTAATTGTATATGAAAATTTGGAGTTTGCGTTTGTTTTAATAATTCAAAGAAAAGCCACCAGGAGTTTTATATTGTCCATTTTACAGGAAAAAATACATCAGTTCAGGGACATATAACAATTTAGGTTATAAAAATGATGAGAAGATTGGAAATCAAAAGGTGTTTTCCATTTTCCTGTTTTACATATGATATACTTTATATATATTCCTTTTAATATTCTTATAAGAAAGTTTGTATGTGCTCATTCTATACAGAGAGAAACTGAGGCAGGATGAATTGAATGGAATATGAACTTCTGATGAATTAGGGAAGTTGAGACTGAGAACAGGGCTCAGTCATTGCTTTCAATATTAGAACATAACTTCCAAATGCATTTTGGAAAAATCAATCTTTTGTGTGTAAATTATGAATATTTGTTAGGTAATAACGTAAAATCATGGATGATATGTGTACAAATAATATGGAAAACTTTTTCTGTTTTTTTCAATGTCATCTCTATGTCTTTGGCTAACTAAGTGCTTTAAGGAAGAATTGGCAAGATCTTTTCAGAACTTTTTCCATACAAAAGCTGTAAGTGCTCATTATAATAAAGTACTCAGAAAGTATGGATAACACAAAAGAGACAATTCAAATCACTCGTTAGTACAGATTCTGTAACCATTTTCATTCATCAGTAGATTGGGAGTCTTTTGCATGTTATTTGATTATTTGTTTGGTTTTGCATCTGTTTCATAATACAGATAAACCATGATGTAACCATTTCCCTAATGTTGGCCTTTTGGCCAACATTATATTCAGTTTTTATTATTATACATATTGAAGTCTTTACAGGTATCCATAATTATTTCCTTATGATAAATTCCTAGAATTGGAATATATTCATTTGTAAAGCTTTTGATACATTATTGGCAAATTTCCCTCTAAAGGTTAGCTGGAGTCCCATTAGTACCATATATATAAACATTCCCCAGTGCCCTCAGTAACACTGATATTTTGATTTTTTTTTAATTTATGCCAAGATAGGCAAAAATACTCCAGTAATAGATTTTTTTTAAATATAAGGGATACATTTTCATTAGAGAAAACATAGGTTAAACAGCCAAGCAAAAGAAGCATAAAGTAGTAGTAGTAGTTAAATTAACCTAAAAGTGATTATAGAAACCTATAGTGATTATAGATTATATACTCCTTCTGTAATTAATAGGCCAGATTTGCTGCTAGGGTAGTTTTTATTTTGATCTTCCGTGGATAAAGGTTTTTAATACCCAATAACTGAGATAATTAGTTTGATTTTGTACAGTAGCATTGGACTTTTTATGGCTAGAAGCATATGTAGATTTTTATTTGATTCTTCATAACATTTTTTATGGTAATTAAATTTCTTGTTTCAAAAGTACATATTTTTGCCTTGAAAGAGAATAAAACAATTTTTATAAATGAATGCCAAACTTTAAAAAAAAAAACAAATCTAACTTTGTAACTGTTTTTACCAGTTCCGGTTAACACTTTTTGTCTTAAAAGTTAATATTGTTGGCTTGTGACAATTTATCTTATAAAAGACAATAATTTCTCTTCCTGTGGATAAAGTAGCTTTCATTTTTGAGTCGTCTTTCTCGGAGTCTGTTTTTAGTACATCAGTCAGAAGAAAATGGCTGACTTTGAATTAGTGTCAAGCTTGTAGTTATTTGTTTTTTACTGGGCTATAGTATAGATGCATTTCTATGAACTCTTTGCTTCCTATTTAGATTAATTTCTCTTCCTTTATTTAACCATTCTCTTTCATTGCTCTTTTATATTTTCCTTTTTGAAAGAAGTGTCTGAATTAGTTTTGTATTTTAAAGTTCTTTTTTTTCTTAAAGAACTTTTACCTCTATGATGTCTCTCATCCTTTACTTTTAAAGGATGTAGTTTTAACAAACATGTATATATATGTATACACACACACACACACACACACACACACACACTGGTTTAATTGCCCCATTATAGTCAAGATACAGAACATTTCTGTCCCCCCAAGTAAGTTTTATGCCCTTTTATAGTCAATTCCTGTCACCTAGTCCCAGGCAACTGCTTACCTGCTTTCTGTCGTTAAAGATTATTTTACCTTTTCAGAATTTCATATAAATGAATTCTTACAGTGTATACTTTTCACTTAGCATAGTGTTGCTAAGATTCATCTATTTGTTTTTGTTTTTTGTATCCGTAGTCAGTTCCTTTCTGTCACTGAATAATTTCCATTGTTGATATACCTCAGTTAGTTTATATATTCACCCATTGTGGATATTTAGGTTAATGTTTTAGTTAAAGCTAGTATAACCATTCATAGACAAAATATCATGTGGCTATATGTTTTCATTTCACTTGAGTAACTACCTAGGAGTTGTATTGTTGGGTTCTAACGGCAAGTGTAAGTTTATGTTTCATTTTATAGGAAACTGTCAGATGTCTTTAAATGGTTTTATCATTTTTGCATTCCTGACAATCCCGTATTGAGAGTTCCAGTTGCTTTAAATCCTTGCCAGCATTTGATGCTGTCAGTCCTTCTATTTTAGCTATTCTGATAGATGTGTAATTGTATCTCATTGTGGTTTTAATTTGCACTTCTCTGGTGACTAATGATAAGCATCCTTTCAAGTGCTTATCAGTCATTTGTTTATCTTTAGTGAAATGTTCATATATTTTGCCCATTTTTCAATTGGGCTGTTTGTCTTTTTACTATTGAGTTTTGTTTAGTTTTGTTTTTCTTACTATTGAGTTTTAAAAGTTCTTTCTGTATCCTGGATACAAGGTCTTTGTCAGAGGTTTTGCAAATATTTTCTTTAAGGCTGTGACTTACCTTTTTCGTTTTCATTATGGTGACTTCCAAAAGAGCAGAGGTTTTACATTTTGATGAAGTCTAGTTGATCAGTTTTTCTTTTATGGTTCATTTATTTTCAGTCTAAGAAATCTTGACCTAAGTTTGCAAATATTTTGCCCTTTGTTTTCTAACAGAAGTTTTACAGTCTTAGAATTTTTACTTCATTTTTGCATCTAGTGTGAGTAAGGTCGATTCATTTATTTGTCACATGAATGTCGTGTTGTTTCAGCACTATTTGTTGAAAAGACTCTACTTTCCCCCACTGAATTATGTTGGCACCTTTTATTGAGAATTAATTAACCATATGTTACTTGGTTTATTTCTGAACCCTGTTC